ATTTTGATTGTCCTATGTCTAAGTACTTGGGGAAATCAAAGAGTTTTCTACATGATCTTAATCAACTTCTGCCCCTTACTAGTGATGTTGCTAAGGAGCAGGAACAACATAGTGCTCTTTTTATGTTGTTGATTCTATATGGTTTACCTCCCTATTTGTCTGCCAATCGAGATCAGATTTTGGGATCTACAACTATTCCTACACTGGATTTTGTGATGTCTACTTTTCTTAGGATTCCACCTAAGCCCTCTATATCATCAATGCCTGTTATGCCTCATGTCCCTCCAGTTAACACCTCTGACTCCTCTTCCCTTGCTGCTCAGGGCTCTGGTCGTGGACGTAAATCCTCTAATAATCGGCTAGTCTGCACTCATTGTCATCAAACCAATCATATTGTTGACCGTTGTTGGAAGCTCCATGGCAAGCCACCTCAGCCTCCTCGGAGTACTCATGTTGCTTAGGCTCTATCTAGTGCTCCTGATTCAGGGTTACCTTTTACAGCATAACCTGTTGTAGCTCTTCTTAATGAATTAGTGACTAAGTGGTCTGAGAAGCAAGCATATGGTACTACTGCCTCCATTGCTCCAATTGTTAATATTTTTGCTGGGATATCTCAGTTACAATCTCTAGGCCCTTGGACTCTTGATTCTGGGGCTTCTGATCACATTTCTGGTAATAAGTCTTTATTCACCTCTCTTTGTACCACTGGTTCGTTTTCTTTACTAAAATTTTTGTCATTTTGCAGGATCGGAGTTCGGGGAAGGAGATTATCAAAGGATATGAGTCTCATGGCCTCTATCAAATTTTTCCTTCTTCTTCAGCCTACTCTATTGTGGACTCTCCCCTCACTATCCATGCTTATTTGGGTCATCCAAGTCTTGCCAAGCTTCAAAAGATGGTTCCACATTTATCGCCTCTTTCTAGTTTATATTGTGAGTCTTGTCAGTTTAGGAAACATACTCGTAGTACGTTACCAAGTCGTCTTAGTCGTTGAGCTTTGTCTCCTTTTTCTATGGTCCACTCTGATATTTGGGGGCCAATTCGTCATCCTTCTATTGTAGGGTTTAAGTATTTTGTTACATTTATTGATGATTATTGCATATGTACTTGGTTATTTTTAATAAAAAATCGTTCTAAGTTATTTTTTGTTTTTCAGTTATTTTATAATGAAATCCAAACTCAGTTTGGTATTCTTATTTATACTTTTCGTAGTGATAATGTTTGTGAGTATTTATCTCATCAATTCTTTTCGTCTAATGGCATTCTTCTCCAAAAGTCTTGTCCCCATACACCCTAACAAAATGGTGTAGCCGAGCGCAAGAGTCGTTACCTTGTTGAGACTACTCGCGCATTGATAATTGATGGCAATGTTCACTACAAATTCTGGGGTGATGCTATTCTCAATGCATGTCATCTCATTAATTGCATGCCCTCTTCGGTTCTTCATAAACAGGTACCTCACTCTATTTTGTTCCCTCATCAACCTCTATATCCTTTAGTCCTACATATTTTTGGTTCTACGTGTTTTCTTTATCATCTTGGTCCAGACTTGGATAAACTAGCTCTCAAGTCTCATAAATGTGTTTTTTTGGGATATCCTCGATCTCAAAAAGGTTACCGTTGCTACTCTCCGACTCTACGTTGATACTTTATCTTGGCAGATGTCTTCTTCTTCGAATCAGTCCCTTTTTTCAGCTCCACTACTGCCCATGTGGACTCTGATCAGTCATCTCTCCCTGTCAACTCCTTTGAATACATTCTACCTTTTCCTGTCCCTGTGTCTGGCTCTCCTTCGGTCACTTCTTCTCCTGATGAGTTAAAACATGTTTCACCAGATGTTTATGTGGGCTCACATTCAATTGCATCTCCTCCCTTGACTTCGGTCCCACCTTTCGCTAGTGACCTTCCCATTGCTCTCCGCAAAAGGTACCCATGATACCCGCCCTCCGGCCAGGTATTAAGTTAATATTAGTTATCATCGTCTTTCTCCATCATATTTTGCATGTCTTTCCTCTTTGTCATCGGTGTCTATTCCTAACACTACAAGTGAAGCACTTTCACATTCCAGAGACAAGCTATGATTAATGAAATGAGTGCTCTTCAGCATAATGGCACATGGGATTTGGTCCCTTTTCCGTATAGGAAATCTGTTGTTGGTTGCCGCTGGATTTATTCTGTTAAGGTTGGTCTTGATGGTCAAGTGGATCGTCTTAAAGCACGCTTGCTAGCAAAGGATTTCACTTAGGTATTAAGACTGGATTTTGATGACACTTTTTCCCTATGGTGAAGATGTCTATTGTTCGCCTTTTTATTGCCATGGTTGTTATCCGCCACTGATCTTTCTATCAACTTGACATTAAGAACACTTTTCTTCATGGTGATCTTGTGAAGGAAGTTTATATGGAGCAACCTCCTAGATTTGTTGCTCAGAGGGAGTCAGGTCTTGTTTGTCGTCTCCACAAGTCTCTATATGGTCTCAAGCAATTTCGAAGAGCTTGCTTTGGCAAATTTAGCAATGTTGTTCAACAATTTGGTATGACTCGAAGTGAAGCTGATCATTCTCTCTTTTATTGTCATTTGGCTTCCGGGTCTATCTACTTGGTGGTGTATGTGGGTGATATAGTCATCACAGGTAGTGATAATCATGGGATTACTTAGTTGAAGCAACATTTATGTCATCATTTTCAGACCAAGGATCATGGGAAACTTTGATATTTGGGAATCGAGGTGGCCCAATCTAAAGATAGAGTTGTCATATCTCAGAGGAAATATGCTTTAGATACTCTTGAAGAGACTGCTTTGTTAAATTCTAATTCTGTTGATATCCTTATGGATCCAAATGTCAAGCTTCTACCAAATCAGGGGAGCCCTTTTCAGATCCTGAAAAGGTATAGAAGATTGGTTGGAAAACTGAACTACCTTATAGTCACTCAGCCTGACATTTCATTTGCAGTTAGTATGGTAAGTTAGTTTCTTAATTCTACATGTCAAGAACACTAGAGTGCAGTCAATCGTATTCTCAAGTATATCAAGGAATCCTTAAGAAAAGACCTTGAATATGAAGATAAAGGTCATGTTAAAGTTGTTGGATACTCTGATGTTGATTGGCCCGATTGTCTTTCATTCATATTCTTAGTTTGGGCGACAAATTTGGCTCTTTCGTTATTTGGAATGCGAACAAAGTCTCTACAACCAAAGACCTTGAGGTTCTAATACGACACTTTCTTACCTATCCGCACTTCCCGAGGGATATCTTCTTCTAGTGGTTTGGATTGTTAGACAGGAATTAGGTCAACAGAGATTCTAACAGCCTCACCCCATAAAGACATTGGCAATTCGGCATGAAAGGCCATGCTTCTTACTTTTTCTTCAATTATTCTATTCATTCTCTCAATCACTCCATTTAGTTGTTGTGTCTTAGGGGGCGTGTTATCCAATTTGATTCTTGTTGACCTGCAATACTTTTAAAATGGTCCTATATATTCACCTTTATTACTAGCCCGGGCTGCTTTCAGCTTATTTCTTGTATCCCTTTCTACCATGGCATGAAATTCTTTGAAGGCTGGGAGAACAAGGTCTTTAATGCTCATCAAATAAATCCACACCTTGCGGAAATGGTCATCAATAAATGAACAAAATAATATAACCCGCTCAGCGATCATTCTGAAATGGAATAGATGACGATGTAGATAAGGTCAAGAATATACCTGTGCCTTCTAGGTTGGTCCGACCTCACAAAGGAAACTATATGTTACTTGTCAACCAGACAGTGCGTATGGCTCTCCGGCAACTGCCCTTTCAACACAAGCAACAAATCTTTCTTGTTCAATATCTGAAGCTCTTTCTTGCTTATGTGGCCAAGATGTTTGTGCCACAAGTCCATGTTGTATCCATCTCAGACCGCATTAACTTCTCCACCATTTATTCTTCCATACATCATGTATAAGGACCATTCTTTCTTGCCTTGGGCCATCACCATGCTACCCAATTTCCACTTGCCAAAACCAAAATAGCTTACCAACCCGGCATCAATCAATTTACCTATCGAGATTAAATTGAAGCGCATGTCTAGCACAAGCCTTACCTCCTTTAGCATAAGTCAACATCTCACATCAGTTGTTAGAGTTACATCACCAACTCTAACAATCTTGCTAGTGACTTGGTTTTCCATCTTTACCACTCCAAAGTCTCCACTCTTGTATAATGAGAAGAAGCACTTGTGTATACCTCTAGTGAAATACTTGGGAAGTAATATAGTAATCTCATTATTCATATAGTGAAAATTTTTGCTAGACTAGGTCCCATCATTTTTGTTCCTATGTATAAAAGGGCAGGTTTTCCACGTTAAAATTATTGTGTGTTTGTGTCTCTTTATCTCTAAATTTCTGTTTTCTACATTATTCGACATCCAAGTGTTGAGTTCCATAACTCCACTTGAAGACTTATTACTTCCACACTGATAGGGGACCCGACCCCTTCACAACAAATTCCATCCAATTCCCAATCAACTTGAGGGAGAGCTCGAATCCCTGCTCTTAGGAGACAGGCCGAACGAAATCACAAAGAAAAGGAACTAGGAGAAACTAACCACGCTCTTAGCAGAATGAAAACCTCTTCATCTGATTTATATATATTTGATGTGTTTTTCATATTATTATGACCAATCCTTCACTTAAGATTGACTACAACGCAACGCTAAGGGGAAATTACAACTGCTCCGCGGCCTGTAAAAACATGGATAGTCCCCAAAGTAAATACTCATCTATAATCACCCATAATCTCCCCCCGGCCTATAAAAATATGGATTTAAATTTGTGTGTGAGACACTAACAGTGAAATCATAGAAGAATGACATCATATATCATAAGGCAAACAAATCAATTTGTTTATTATATATATATATATAAGAAAACCAATATAAGTTAACAAGATATGAACACAAACAAAAACATAATTAAGAATGAATAATAATTCATTACTCTAACAATCAAAGTCCATTGTTATCGAGGCTTCCCCTGCATAACTTGAGAAGAAGAACCACTTGTAGTATATAAAGATTTAAGTTGCCTGCTTATGAGTTTGCTATTATGTATAGCCTGCTGAAGTTGTGCATCACTTGACCACCATTGTTCCAACCCATGAGCTTCATGAAACTTCTGCTTTTCCTTTGTGACAACAAACAACTTTGCTGCAAAATGTTGCTCATTTGTTGGAGCAACATTTTCCTTGTCAGCAACACCTTTATCTTCTGAACCATCAGGTTGAGTATAAGAGCAACAAATATAGTCACTGTTGTTTACATACAAATGAGGAACCCATTTTCCCACCCCAAAACCACCATTCTTCAAGCTAGGTAATCTAGGTATCCAACTCTTGAGTCCTATATTGCTCAAACTCTTGTCCCCATCATTGCTTGCTTGAGCTTCATCACCATCACTAGAAGGAAACATAGCTTTAAGTCTCTTCCAAACCAATTCAGCTTTTTCTCCAATATTTCTGAGACTCATAGCTATTGAAACAGAAGGTGGATTAAATAAATGTGTCTCCACATAAATGCCTTCTTTTGCTAATGCCTTTCCCACTTGAAGAGCAAAACCAGCTCCTAAGGAATGCCCTGCAATACAAACATTACTGCTTCCATATGTGTCAGAAACAGATTTTAGAACATTCAAAGCTACCTTAAACCTCACAGAACCCTTTAAGCTTTCCCATGCAAGAAAACGAAGGTCATCTTCAATATCTCTTCTCATTGTGGGGCTCTTGAGTACTGTTCCCCTTAATGCTAAAACAGCTCTTGGGGCACCACTTGGTCTAATTAATACTAAGTCAGCCATTGCTGCAGATCTATCCCATTCAAGTATTGCACCAAAAATGGATCCATCTCTTTCATCAATCAATGTTTGTGTGAGCTTGTACTTGAAGGGAATCCACCAATTTGGAGCAAGAGCATTTTCTTGTGTTCGATTCTCTTGTCTATCAAGTTCAAGCAAGTAAACAGCTTGTATAAAGCATGCAATGACAGTTCTTTTATAATTTGCATCCTTCCTGCACTTAACAAAATAGTTATCATTATACACACAAATTGAAAGAATGTATAAAGGAAAGGGTAGTTCAATCTGTACAAAGGATTTTTTGAGATAACACAAATACACAACTATACCAAAATTTTAAGATATTGCTAAAAAAACAAAATTTTAAGATATGTGATAAAAGTAAAAGAATAATTTTATATAACACAGAAACCAAATGGGGCGACAAATAAAACTCTAAAATCACAAAGTTATAGAAGTTCTATACATGAACCAACTATTTCGAAAACTTAAACTTAACAACTATAATTAAGAAAATCCATAATACAAAATGTGAAAGACTTCAATTTTTCTCCTTCACTTCGGTTTATAGCTTTGACTATCTTTCGACTAAAAGTAAAAATATAATACAATGATAATTCTAAGTACAAAAACTTAAAACATTATATGAATGAAAGTAAATGAATGGTTTTATATCTACTAATTTTAATTTAAGAAAATTCGTACTACAAAATGTGCAGAATTCTTCATTTATTTATTTATTTCCATTTACTTTGTGGTCGTAGCTCTGACAATCTTTACGCATGCGGCCCAATTAAAACTTACATAATAGCCAATGCATAATTCTAACTCGACGAAAAATCCTAGTGGAAAACAATGACATTGAAGGTTATTATTGAGACTTAAGGAAAGGCTGTAAATCAGGGTCGCCAAAATTCTATTTCAAATGCTTAATAATTAAAGCAACTAAGAAACCGGTAAGAAACCGGGTATCAAGATGGAGATTCCAACAAATCGGCACATCAAATTCAAGAATTACCAAATTTGAATCTTCGAAATTAAAAAAGCTATACCCCGATTGACAGCACAAGGCAAAGAGGCAACAGGGTAATAAATGATTAACCTATAAGGAAACTAAAAGTAGATAAGCATGAATTATCATTGACATCTGCAATTTTGGAAAAGTTTATTTAAAATTCATACTTTATTTCAAAGGCACCCACCAAAAAATATTTCAAAAAAAATTAAAAACAAGATCTAATCCAACGTTGTTGGCGGATGTAGATGATCCCATGCCGGTACTTGAAACTAACATCTAATTATATCACTTGGATCTCAAAAATCCAAGAACCCATCTCTAATTAATTATAATAAACAAAACCCAGTTGATAAATTTTGCAACTAAATTCAAAATATTCAGTAAACTCAGCTGATAAATTTTGCCACTTTTTCTAGTTCATAAGAGTTCCTCCAATTAGAAAAAACCGTAATGTTCAAATTCTCTGCAAAACCATTTGTTAAAAGGTTACAACTTCATGCTTAAATTTTAAAACCCATTCTTCTAACAACTTCAAAATGGATCAGATCAACACTCAGATCCTTCCCACAAGAACCCAATCATGATTATTAACAGTTTAACACTGCTCTGTCCCAACACTTCCAGAAAACCAAGTTACAAACTTTTCACTCAAAGTTTCAAGCATTAACAAAATGAGGTTAAGAAACAACAACCCCACGAGTCAAAAAGTAAAATTTATCTGAGATTCAGTTAGATCAAAGCCAGAGCTGAAATGGGTACCAACCAGCTAGAACTGATAAGGTCTCTCCAGTTAAGGGTAGTCAAATTGCGAGGGCCAGAGACATGAAAGGCATAAGGGTGAGCTTCTTCTTCTTGAACCACTACCCCTTTCACTTCTTCTTCTTCTTCTTCTTTGCTCACTTGGCTTGTTGTTTCCATGTTAATGCTAATGCTGATGATGAAGCTGCAGAGAAATTAAGAGTGTGTTTGAACTGTGAAGTGAAGTAGTGCGTTTATGGAAAGTTTGCAGATTTTCCTCTGTGAACTAGTTGTTTTCAATATTATTGGATTGTTGTGATCTTTTTTTTTTCTCAAAACTATAAAATAACCAAATTCAAATTAATTCAGTTCCCTACTATGTAACGGTCATATTTCCTTTAACGCTACCGTTTTTCTTTTTTTCTTTTTTCTTTGTTTTTTCAAATACAATAATGAAAGGAAAATGGATTTTGAAATTTTACTTACTAGTATTTTACCTAATTCTTGTACTACTAGTACATGAATTTTTAACTATTATTATGTTAAAGAAGATAACTTTAAATAATTAATATACAATGTTATTATTAATGCATATGGAATAATAACGTTAAATCAAAGTTGAAACATATACAATAATTGATACAATTTATTGCATTATTAAAGTAATGATATTAAATAATTCTTTAAATATTACATTAGTTATAGTATATCAAAATATTATTATTTCTTATTTTAAATTAATATTTCAAATTCATTTTGGGGAATCTTCCGTTTGCAGATGACATCATAACTTTGTTGTTGATTGACCGAAAAATTGAAAGTTTTTGGAGAGAGTTCCTTCCAAGAGATGCTTATATTAAAAATTCTAAGAGCATGTTTGGATCCTCTTATTTTTAAGCTAGAAGCTACTTATAAGCTAAAGCTAAAAAAAAGAGCTTAAAAAATTAAGCTAAAAGCTGTTTGAAAATTACATAAAAGTTTTAGCTTAAAAATTACTTAAAAGCACATATTTCAAGAAAATTATCTTTCTCTCTATATTTATCACTCTTCATTTAAAAAAAAAGCACACAATTCAAGAAAAACAGATAAGAGATTAAAAAAAAGCTCCTCCTAGGAGCTTTTAATTTTCTGTTTTTTTCTTCATTATAAAAACAGAGCTTTTCGTTATAAGAGCTTTTCCCAAAATCTGTTTGGCCTAACTTATGCTTATAAGTAGCTTCTAGCTTAAAAATAAGAGGATCCAAACAGGCACTAAGTTTTCTCATAATCACTTATTTTTCTTCTTAAATTTTTTAATTATTTATCTCCTTACTTAAAGTTGATTTATCATTTATCCCCTGACTTGGTTTTTCATCCAAAATTATAGTTAACAGTGTTAATTTTTTTATAAAATACCAAAATTAGCCTTTAAAAAAAGCGTTAGTTGATCTTCTTCACTTTGTTATCGTCTTTTATTGGAGATCTGAAAGCCTTTTTTTGCAAGAGCTACCTCCATCAAAATGAAAGGCAAAAGTAAAATAATTCTTATTTACAACTAAGCTAAGCTATCATAAAATAAAAACAGAGTCCGTACAGAGACAAAAAAATTGTGGAGTCTAAATAGTAATGGGTACCCAACGTTAAAGAAGATAAAAAAAGAGGAGCATGGAATAATCCTGTGAAGCTCAGATTCAACACAAGTCCATCTCAAAGTCCCCATTAACATTTGAATGTAATTTTGAACATTGATTTTTCAACTTTGTTCTAAATCACATGTCAATATATACAATATGTTTTAAACCCGAACCTTTTTATTTTCATTGTTGTAATATATCAGCAATTTTTAATAATGTTGTGAAAGATAATTATGCGTTGCTGACCGTTGTGTATTCAAAAGGAAACTGTGTTATTGAAAGGACACCAAACCAAAAGTGGCTTCTCTCTTTCTCTGTGTGTAAATTGTAATGACTCTTTATTTGAAAATTAAGTTGGATGAATTGAGCAAATCTCAAATGGTTTCATTCATGTGGTGGGAGAAAGTCTGAAAATCAACTAATGCTTTTTTTTTAATGGTTAGTTTTGGTATTTTATTAAAAAAATAACACTATTAATTGTAATTTTGGCTGGAAAATCAAGTCAGGGTGGTAAATGATAAAGCAACTTTAAGTAAAGAGGTAAATGATTAAAAATTTTGGGGAAGGGGTAAGTGATTATAAGAAAACTTATTCCAATTTAATAGAAATTGATTATCAGCAGCCAAAAAATATCTAGAGCAATTAAAACAATAATCCAAATAATTTGAATCTTTCATTAAGTTACAGACTGTAACATCCCGAGCGCTGATGAGGGCGGGGAGTGATCGTCGGTGCAAAGAGGCACGGACAAGGAGAGGCTCCTGACAGGCTTCCAGCGGGGGGTTACATGCATGAATGAATCGAATCAACACCCGAACGAGAAGGATTCCAAAGACTGTGCAGGTATGAGACTGCACAGTTTGGGATAGCTTATAAGAATTAATTGGTACTACCTATACTAACAAGATGCATCTGCTTTTCGGTAGCCCGGATCGGAAGAACTCCATAGTTAAGCGTGCTTGACTTGGAGCAATTATGGGATGGGTGACCTCCTGGGAAGTGTGCGAGTAAGGAAAAAGTACATTGAAAAGTCTCGTGTTAGTATGTGGGGATAGTGTAATTTTATTTAAACCATACGTTACTACCTTAGTGTGCCAAGTAGTCCCCTAAGACCAACAAGGCTTATAAACTCATTTTTATTAGTATTAAACACTAAACATCTCCACTCTTTGTTTGTTTAAGAAATTTCTATACTACTTTTATGGTCCCCATCTTCCAATATGTTATAGAATTCTTTGTTAGCTACGCGTGGGTTCAAACCGCGCTCAAATCGGAGCGTCGTAGCCCAAGTTATGAATTTTTGAAGAAAAACTGTTAAATTTCACAGGGGTACCGCGCTGAGAGCGCCAAACCCGCGCTACGAGTGTGAACCTTGCTGCCATTTTTGCACCTACAGCGCCGTCAACGCCAGGTCCGCGCTGTGAGCGTGAACCTTGCTGCCATTTTTGCACTTACGGCGCCGACAGCGCCAACTTGGCGCTCAGAGCGCCACGGTTCTGGAGATTACACCTAGCCTTAGTATTTTACCTCTAACTAGAGTTATACTTATCCAATTGACTCAATCTTGGTCTCGTTGGAAAGCTAAGAAAAAGATCTACAACTTCCATTAAGACACAAGGGTCCAAATCAATCATATAGGATATGAAATATGGATCACAAGATAGGATATCTTTATTTTCATATGGATTTTCAACCTACAAGTCTTCTTTCACCTAATTGACATCATATAATCCTTTCAATACACGATTCTTGATTCTTTCAAGGTACACATACCTTAAAAGAAACATCCATACCCTTTCATCATTTATATATACAATAATCCCAACATTACATCATCTCTACAAGTCTTAATTACAGAATCATGGGACTTAGCTACAAAATACTATGATCAAGTCATTAGCTCCCAACAACAAAAGAGATACCACAGGAGATGAGCATAGGCTAAGTCCATCTAATTAAAACATAACATGCATATGACAATTGGCTTTCAATTAACGATCCTATACATATGAACTACAAAATGGCATGCTTAATTCCAATGATGCAAGATCTTCATGTATCAACTAATCCAAATATGGCCACTTGCCACTGGAGGCTCCTGCAGCATCCTTACCTGAAAGGGGGTCCCCTCAACACGAGGTGAGATATACGAATATATCACAGTAAACCAGGGGTCCTTGGAGCATTTCTCCACCCCATAGTTCAATCTCAGTATAATAGCAATAACAATAAATAATGCAATAAATACATATTCATGTAGTGTGTAACAAACATCTCCAGGAGAAATTCCTCGAGCTCTCAAGTTGTCCTAAGGATACTCAGATGCAAATAGTCCTACTGGCCAGCTAAACTACCAAGTATGAACTACCAACATAGGGAAACACCATCCTATGCCACACCAAATGCATACACATACGTATAACAAAGCATTAGGCTATTCCATTGCATTTATATACACTATCAACAACCACTACCCATTCAGGGCTTGGTGGAACAATAAAGGGATTTACACCCAAGGTCCGAAGGCTTACCTCAAAGCTCCAGTTCAACCTTTGTTCTTCACCAACAAGTTTTACCACCAATTACAATAATCAACTTCACAAACAAACACCTACACAATGTATAATGCAATCAAAACATATTGCATCCAAGAATATCTCATAATTATCAACCAAACTATCCAATTCATCCCACAACAAAGCATGAGCTTACCTATTCCAATGAGCTAATCAAGCTCCATAGCTCCCTCCAACAGTTGGTCACTCAAGGTTGGTTCAATTTCCTCAATCCTAGACATAACATGGACACAATCAATATCCAACCAAACCAAACCATTTATTACTAATATAACAAAATCCACAATCAAGTATATAATCTTGTAATTTTCAAAATATAATCAATTGACTATCTAAGCTCATTTTCACCGATTAAGTGACATTCCGAGCATTTTTCACAACATACACTAAGCCTCAATCCTCCTAGAATATAGCCAATCTACTCACATTATCATAAAATCCTAACAACACTATTCATCATGACCTAAACTCATGAAAATCTCAAGGAATCATGTGAAAGAGAGTGGAAACTTACCACAAATGGTCACACAACAATGGAATGGGTGTTCCTCAAGCTCCCATGGAGGTAAAAGCTACCAAACCCCTCAATTTTTCATATGGGTTGAAATTTTGGAGGGTGAAATCTCTCTCCACAAAGCCTCCCACTCAAAACCAAACTTGAATTATGAAAGAGGAGAAGATTTGGAGTGGTTTAGGCTTTGGAATCAAGGAAAACGGTTGGGTATCAAGGAAGTTAAGATTTTTCTCGTATTTGGTCTTCTCTTTCTCTTTCTCTCATGGTGGGTTTGTGTCTTTTTGTCACTTAACATAAGTTAAGTGACTTTAAGCGGGTATGGGTTCATCTATCTATTCAACTCCATTTCCCACCAAACTTTACCCAACGGTCTGGAATATTTTTCTAGGAATATCTTCACTTTTATTTTTATATTTTAGGTACTTTTTCTACTCCCATTTATACCCCTTAATTTTCACTGAGTGCACTTTTTACCTC